TAAGCCAACACCAAAATAAAATCAAAATTAATATTACTTTTACAAAGATCCTGTATAACTTACACATTTCAAATCACTGTTGTATTTTTGCTAAGATCATGTGATTACAAAGGTATGTTATCAAGATGTAAATATTAAAGACACAACACCGTCATCTTTGGTGCTTTGTTTCTGTGATATAGGGCTGCATCCCAAATGGCACCCTATTCCCATTATATTGCACTATACAGGGACTAGAGCAGCGGTTCCCGAACTAGGGGTCGCTACCAATGTTCCCTCAACATTTTTTTGGCACTGAGCAAATTTCAGGTCTGCTGAGTGCAAACTTGAACGTTGTGAAAATTCTGTGCAACTTCTGGCATGTGTTTATTGTGAACACTGAGGCTGTACCCGCTTTTAGTTACAGTTATAACAGCGGCCAAATAGGCTACTGTGGCTATTTGATCATAATGTAGACCTATCAGAGTGGCCTACCATCAAAAACAATTGTGAAAATGCATCCCATAACATTTTAACATGGAAATAGCTGTCCTATCATTCAGCCAACACATTAGCAGCCAATGTGTGGTGTTCTATGTAGGCCTACATTCCATGAGACTTTTGGAAAAAAATATGAAGGGCTTGACATTAATCTGTTCATCCACTTGTCCTTCAGACAAGGAGGTGACTGAAAATGTGTTGTTTGATGCAAGAAACCACTTTACAAAATAAAGTTAATTATTATTCCCATACCATTATTACAGAGAATCAGACGAAGTATGTTACCCTCTGCCTATTGGCTACTTATCTTATTCAAGCCTGTCTCAAAATACAACACTGCCCCTTTAAGACCGAAAAAATGCTCTTTACCTGACTCACTTTCAAAGATGCCTAGAAAACACGTTTTGTTCTCTTGTAGGAAGCAACCACTCCCCCATTGCTGACTAGAAATGAGCTATAACTGGGCTAATAACTCACTTACTAACAAAGAATATGAACAAATGTGCACACGTGGCTACATGCAGCTCTCACCTTGATCTCAAAACAAGCGCATCTACTCCCGACCACTCATGCTGTAAACCCAGTTCAGTTCAAAGTGAATGGCACAGATCCATATATGGCAATGGTCTATTTGCATATAGGGGAGGGAGACTGCAGCTCTGATTGTTTATGTGGCACAGGTCTGTAGTACAGGCTGATTCTGAAATTAGCCCACCCAACTACCTCATCCCCAGATTGTTATTTATTTTGCTAATTTGCACCCCAGTATCTCTATTTGCACATCATCTCTTGCACATCTATCATTCCAGTGTTAATACTAATTGTAATTATTTTGCACTATGGCCTATTTATTGCCTTACCTCCATAACTTGCAACATTTGCACACAGTGTATATATATTTTCTGTTGTATTTTTGACTTTATGTTTTGTTTTACCCCACATGTAACTCTGTGTTGTTGTTTTTTATTGTACTGCTTTGCTTTATCTTGGCCAGGTCGCAGTTGTAAATGAGAACTTGTTCTCAACTGGCTTACCTGGTTAAATAAAGGTAAAAACTAAAAAAAATCCTGCCTGTCAATGCAATAGAATCCTACTCCGGTGTGTTCTGCCTACAAGAAAATCTCTTGCATAGTTAGTTTTGCATACTAAGTCTTGCGTAGTTCATATTGTATCGGTATGTTGCATTGAAAGTGGCTAATATTGGTAACTCCCACAGTAGAGGGAAATGTTGATAGTGTTAACTAAAGGGGAAAACTAGAAAGTTGAGTGAAGTTCAATATCAAGCTTCTCTGCGTGTGCTGATATTTCTTCTGTGTGGCAGTCCCAAGGGTGCTGCACGCAGCTTAGAGGGAACATTGGTCGATTTTCCAAAATCCTGAAGAAAATAATATATATACAAATAAATTAATTATACTATCGTCTTTGTATCTCAAAATCATTGTAATGTGGTTAATCCAGGGGTTCCCAAACTTTTTTGGCCCACGACCACATTTTGATATCTGAAAATTCTCGTGACCTCAACCATGTGAAATGATGTGCTTAACAATGTTTACTTTTTTATTTGGGACTATGGCAGTCAATTGAATAACATTCTAACAGTATTTCTGATTCTCTTCTCAACTCACCATCACATACTTTTAATGTGGGGCTATGACAGTCAATTGCAAATTAGTGTGACATAATGTATCTTATCTTATCACCACTAATGAGATGGCTGTGCTTGATGTATGTCGCATCGGGGCTTCTCAAAGTCAGGGGGCGTGGTCGACAGTGAGCGCTTCATCTCTGCTGTCACATCCAACCTGGATCGATATTTGGTTTTAATGCAGACGAGAGCACTGAATCCAGCTTCACACAGATATGAGCTGGCGAAGGGTACCGCGAGTTTTATGGTGCTTTGAAGACAACTGGGAACTCTGAAAAATACGAGGTCAAATCATGACGTCAGTGATCTTCAGGTCGGAAAGTCGGCACTCTAGAATGAGGCCCGAGTTCCCAAGTCGGAATTCCGCGTTGGATGTCTGTTCAAAACGATTCTGTTCGGAGTTAGTGCTCTCATCTGCATTAAAACCAAATATCGATCCAGGTTGGATGTGACAGCATAGATGAGGTGCGCATTGTCGACCACGCCCCCTGACTTTGGGAAGCTCCGATGTGACATACATCAAGCGCATCCATCTCATTAGTGGTGGTAAGATAAGATACATTATGTCAGACTAATTTGCAATTCACTGTCATTGCCCCACATTAAATGTACGTGATGGTGAGTTGAGAAGACAATCAGAAATACTGTTAGAACGTTTTTCAATTGACTGCCATAGCCCCAAATAAAAAAGTAAACATTGGCTGTTAATTACATCATTTTCACATGAATGGGGTCGCGAGAATTTTCAGATTTCAAAATGGGGTCGTGGGCCAAAAAAGTTTGTGAATCCCTGGAATAGGGTGTCGTTTAGGACACACCCATAGAGACCCTATTTTCTTAAGAGCAGCATACCACCCTGCATCCCACTGCTGGCTTGCCGCTGAAGCTAAGCAGGGTTGGTCCTGGTTGGTCCCTGGATGGGAGGCCAGATACTGCTGGAAGTGGTGTTGGATTGGGGACATTAAACAGGTGTTCTGACACTCTGTGGACACTTAAGATCCCATGGAACTTATCATAAGAGTAGGGGTGTAACCCTGGTGTCCTGGCTAAATTCCCAGTCTGGTCCTCATACCATCATGGCCATCTAAGCTTCCAATTGGCTCATTTATCACCCCTCCTTTCCCCTGTAACTATTCCCCAGGTTGTTGCTGTAAACAAGAATGTGTTCTCAGTCAATTTACATAATTTAGCAGACGCTCTTATCCAGAGCGTTTTTTAGTGAGTGCATACATTTTTTTATTTTCATACTGGGCCCCCGTGGGAATCAAACCCACAACTCTGGCGTTGCAAACGCCATGCTCTACCAACTGAGCTACACGGGACTACTTTACTTACCTGGTAAAATAAGGGTTAAAAAACATTCAGAAAAGATCCATTGTGTAACCTATTACAATAATAAGGACAGTTGGTGGATTATCATAACACTGCCTGAGTTTCCTGTGGCAGAAATCTGGTCCATTAGTTCAGATTACCTTCCATTGTTTAGTACGTTTACACCACCACCACCCCAGTCTCTGAAACAGTTGTTTTAATGGATCACACTTAGCACCTTTAAAATGCCATTGTTGGGACTAACTATACATTATCACAGCCATCAGTGCTGATGGTTGTATTACTGGGTCCAACAGGGAAGTTATGATAGGTAGTGGTTGTGACGAGTACTGAGGATACGAAGAGGCAGGAATCAACAATGTAAAGGTTTACTTAACACTGAGCAAGAGAACAACAACGAGCGAGTACACGACCTGACACTAACAATCACACACAACACAACACTGAACAGTCCAGGGCTATATAGGGGTGGTGATGAGATGAGGTGCACTGGAGGTGATTAGGGTGCGTTGGGTTTCAATTCCGTTATTGCCGAGGTGGTGCGCTCAGACCGGTGGCTCAGTAGACTGGCGAATCAGTGCGCCGGAGGGGAGCAACGGGAGGACAGTGGTGGTCATTTACATTTCAACAGGTCCCTTGTCAAGCTGCTACAGCTACAAGGGAAGGCCAGTGAGTTCTACACCTAGATGGTCAAAAAGAGAATTGGAAGGAAAAAATAAGTAATGATATGCTAATGTAGGCTACCTTTTTTATGGTAGCCATCCCTCCTATAGTTCCATTTTGAATTGTTGCTGGCTATTTGATAATAATATAATAATAATAACAATAATAATAATAATATATTGATGTGAAACTGTAGAAAGATTTGATAGAAACTGAGTGATATTGTGATATTGTAAAAGAGAGTGTGGTTAAATGAAAAGGACGAAAGAGATAGAAGCCTAGTATTTGCAGTGCTTGACTTGGGCAGGAGCTCACCAGAGCTGAGTACCCGCAACAACATTTTTCCACTGCTTGAGTTCCTGCACCTCTTAAAGAATATTAGCTCAAAAGTGATGGAGCTCCTGCACCTAAATATCAACAGTACCAGCACCCAAAATGAGTAGCAGTAACTATTTCAGTCCAAGTCAAGCACTGAATATATGCCTGTAGAGTTGTAAATTATCATATTAAAAGTAAGTTATATTGCAACACTTGATCATATTTGATCCACTTTTTTATTTCTACATTAATGTATATATATATTTTTTAAATTACAAAGTTATCCCTTAACCGAGCCCCCTAATCGAGGGCTCTTTTCCTGGCCAACACCACCCCATCTCTCTAAACAGACCAATTAGGTACGTTTCTCTAGCGCGCCCGAGGCACGTGATAGGACAGATTTGCTCATAAGGACCAATGGAAAGGTCTACATTTACAAACCCTGCCCACCCGGAACACCGCGGGACAGATAAAAAACGCACGGAAGGAGAACAAATAGCACTAGTCGTCCTGCCTCAGGTTCCATATATATTTGACAGACCTGCTTTATATTATACGGACCATGGACCGCAAACGGAGCAAGGCACAGGCGGAGGCTATGGCTGCAGATCTCGGTGACATCACTTCAATGAATCTGCTTGGCGCTGCCGATTTAAGTCAGTGGATAGAACTTGTGAAAGATTACTCTGTGGCGGGAGATCACACACATGTCCTCTCTGAATCTGAAGAAGATGATGATGATGATGAAGACATGGATCACCCAGTTATCACAGATGACGTTGAAATTATAATGATTAGAGTGCGCAACGCGATGGAACCGGGTTATGACAAGGAGATGGACAAAATCCGTAAATTTGATTGCAAATGCGGAGAGGGGCGAAAGGAAGACTCCAACGAAGGAACGTGCACAAAAAAACTGTACCCGGACCGTATCTACAAATACAGGCGTAATATGGCATCCTTAACACAGAGGTTGAGAGACATTGGCATTCTCGGAGTATTAAATACCATCGCACCTATACTTACCGTAGGCGCGAAAACCCAGTGTTCCAAGACAGGGGAGCAGACTCAACCGAAGCCCCAAACACTTCCATACCTGGTTGGAGGTGTTCCGGTCTGCGAGGAATCATTTATATTGGGTACATGCTTTACATATAGTATTTAAAATACATTTAGAACTAGAATCACATCCTAGTGAGCCTAATACTAATATAGTAGTAATTGTATTGAGGTGACAAAGTTGTAGGTCTGTTGGATTGGGATTTTATTTCTCTATAAAGTCTTGATGTTCATGGTTGGACTATTTTGAATTGCATTTCTATCTTGATGCCAATCCCATAAGGGCAGAAGTGGAACCACTGGTCCAAGAGTGATGGGGTAGAGTTTTTCCTGAACTGGTGACCTAGCTAAATCTGGACCCTAATTGTGGGGTATGACATGGTGATTAAACCGTTTTTATATGGGCTATTTAATACAGAGAAATTGGCATAGTAGGCAATCAATCCTTTTACATCCTGCAAATCACCAGTGGTGGGTGACTATTTTGAATCCATTTTCACATTCACTCTGTTAGTAATGCTTACAAATTGGTTCATAACTCTACAAATAACAGCAATCCCACTCTGGAACTCTGATATGCATGTAGAGTAGGGCTCTCCAACCCTGTTCCTGGAGAGCTACCTCCTGTATGTTCTCTCCAACCCCAGTTGTAATTAATCTGATTCATTTTATCAACCAGCTAATTATTAGAATCAGGTGCTCTAGATTAGGGTTGGAGTGTGACTTTACAGGCTGGTAGCTCTCCAGGAACAGGGTTGGAGAGCCCTGCCGTAGAGTATATGTTCAACAATATATTGAACATTTGCCCAAAAAAATAAAAATGTTTTCAAACCAACACCTCTTAACGAGGTCGCTAGGTGTTGGGTTAAGGTAGCTAGAATATGTTTATAATAGGGAAGTTGTTATAGAACCAGTATCTGATGCTGTTACCTTTTTAATTCCCTCAGCATCAGCAGAGAGCGTCTAATATTCCTTCACCGGTCCTACCAGGAGAACGGTACAAAGCCTCCCACCTCACCACCTACCACTGGCCGGCCACGCAATCCTGTAGCCCCTGCAGCTGCCACTGGCCGGCCACGCAATCCTGTAGCCCCTGCAGCTGCCACTGGCCGGCCACGCAATCCTGTAGCCCCTGCAGCTGCCACTGGCCGGCCACGCAATCCTGTAGCCCCTGCAGCTGCCACTGGCCGGCCACGCAATCCTGTAGCCCCTGCAGCTTCCACTGGCCGGCCACGCAATCCTGTAGCCCCTGCAGCTGCCACTGGCCGGCCACGCAAGCCCCGTGCTGCTGCGAAGAAGACATAGCAGGTATACAGATGATTTTAAGTGAGTTCAGGTTTTTTCACCTCTAGTTTTACATATGCCCTGCTCTCTGTAGACCAGCACTCCTACTCTGGGAAGGTTTATGAATACAGGCCCTGGTTTCAGCTGCAATATTGATGTCCTGCCTTCTTTCCAGAGATGGGTTTTCCAAGCACCACCTGGACTTGACTCAGCAGAACCAGCAAACACATGCATGTATATTTTATAGACCATGGAGTTTTGCAGCTGTGATCCCATTGCCAAGGACTTTACACCTAAGGCAATAACAGGATTCAAAAGGCTTTCAGTTAATGTGCTTTCAGTTAATGTGCGGTAATGCACAGGACACGTCGTCATGACATCCTACAGTGCATTCTGAAAGTATTCAGACCACTTGACTTTTCCCATATTTTGTTACATTACTGTTACATTGCCGCCTTATTCTGAAATGGATTGAATTGTTTCCCCCCCGCTCAATCTACACACAATACTCAATAATCAAAAAGCAAACTAGGTCTTTAGAAATGTTAGCAAATGTATTAAAATAATAATTTCATCAATTTTAGATGTGGAATGTTGAAAAAGGGAAGGGGTTTGAATACTTTCCGAATGCACTGTACAAGTAAAAAAGACAGGGTCTTATGATTTAAGATCTAGATTTTTTGTATTGTACTTTTTTCAGTATAGAGTCAATAAAATATTTGTATCTAAAAATGTTTTCCCCCCCCCAATTTGTTTTGTCCTGTATACTGCCCTCTAGCGGGTCTGATATTGGCAGTTCTGTCACCAATTCGCTAGTTCTTAAATGACTGCTTCCACACAGTTACTCTGCATTAATTGTATTGAATCACTCTAATGTGAAGTCCAGTAACCACACTATTAAGTTGCTGTAGCCTAGTTTTAATGTAGCCTATGCCTATGAAGCACTGTTGGTCAACTGGTTAAATATTGAGGTTATTACAACCTAGTGAAAATAACATTCATTTTAGCCTACAGTCTGGTTTACAGTTGGTCTATCGACAGTTGTCGCAGTGACATGAACATCATCAAAGTTTTTATGAAAAAGTATAATCACAAAAACAACAGGCTTCATGACATCAACAGCATGGTGGTCCAAATAGCATAACTGCTGTATTTTAACCCCAATAAACCCATTTGTTAAACATTTAATTTAGTATATGATTCTAATTGTCTACACTAGACATCTTGTTAGACCAAGTATACAATGCGTTCGGAAAGTATTCAGACCCCTTGACATTTTCCAAATTTTGTTAACGTTACAGCCTTATTCTAAAATGGATTAAATTGTTTTTCCCCCTCATCAATCTACACACAATACCCCATAATTACAAAGCAAAAACGGGTTTAGACATTTTTGCAAATCTATTAAAAATAAGTAATTTAATCCATTTTAGAATAAGTCTGTAACAAAATGTGGAAAGTGGAGGGGTCTGAGTACTTTCTGAATGCACTGTAAACTTTCCCCTCCCCTTGCAGCAGGCTATCAAAGGGATTTGGGAAGGCTGTTTTTACTTCAAGATAATAACTGTCTTTGTGGTGACTGTCAATATCCGATGCTATGCGACTCAAACATGAGCAATAAGAGCTCAGCACAATGGACAGTGTTTGATTAATTCACCGCAAATATTATTTTATTATCAAGCCAGTGCTCTTTATTTTATTTGTTTTTGACAATGTTTATTTTGTTTCTTGTTTGGGGGGGGGGGGGGGTTACAGGTACATTATCCATTTCAAATTCAAAGTTTATAAAACATGTACCTGTAGGCTGCTACTAAAAACAAAGTAAATGGTAAGAAATACAGAATTTAAGTGATAAACAGAAAACAATTGGGTCTCCACCCCCAACCTCCCATTCCCTCAACCCCACCAAGGCAAAATGTCTCCCGGAAACCATGTTTCCTACCGCACCTAGCAAGTAGGGTTGCTCGTCAGTCACCCCCACCCTTCCTCTCCCAGCGATCAGAGAAAAACCCTCCCCATACCACCCCTTCCCCGTTGGCCTGAAAGTAAAGATTAAAGTAGGTATGTATGTGTTGGGCTTTATGGATTGTTTATTTGTGTTGGGCTTTAGCTGATATTGTTCTTTAGAGTCAAGTATATTTGGCAAGGCCTCAATTGTTCCTTGACTAGCACCATTCATTCTCACTGTCAATAATTCTAATGTTATAACTTCTAATAGTAACTGTATCCACTGGTGAATTGGGAGAGAGTGAGGTGATTAACATCTTTTTTGGGGCAGTGCTGCCTGTCAGCAGTAATCTTCTCTGATTGATTGAGAGATTCAAGACGCTATGACAAGTAACATAATATATGCAAAGCATTGAATATTTACATTCATGCACTTCGAAATGAATTTAGGAACTTTGCCCCAGAAGCATTTAATTGCAGGGCACTCCCACATCATATGGAGGAATGTGCCTACCTGATTTAGGGGACACAGTGAAGGAGGAGGAGAGAAACATGAAGCAGCAGCAGTACCAATATTCTTTTCAAGCCAGCACCAGTTTGGGGTCCTGATATTTCCATTTGCGAATTCAAAACCTTTTTGTTACCAATCCATGGCTGTTTGCTTCAATCACTTGACCTATCTTTGTGAGAAGTGCTGCATAGCCAAAGCATCTATGCAGGCTAGTCCATTTCTGTCATTGTCTGCCTCAACCATGGGAACATCTGGGCCATCCTCATCTTCAATGCGAGGATCTGGGCAGCCATTCTGTTTGAGGAAATTGTGAAGCACTGCTCTTGCAATTATGACAATGCAGCATCTTCTTGGTTGAAAGCGCAGTGTTTATGAGACAATGGAAACGACTCTTCCATACACCAAACGTGCTCCACTACACCTATGGTGCGGATATGAGCTTGGTTGTACCGTTGTTGCTCAGGTCCTAATACATGACCCCTACCTGTCCCAGACCTGCTGTTTTAAACTCTAATGATCGGCTATGAAAAGCCAACTGAGATTTATTCCTGATTATTATTTGACCATGCTTGTCACTTATGAACATTTTTGAACATCTTGGCATGGTTCTGTTATAATCTCCACCCGGCACAGCCAGAAGAGGACTGGCCACCCCTCATAGCCTGGTTCCTCTCTAGGTTTCTTCCTAGGTTTTGCCTTTCTAGGGAGTTTTTCCTAGCCACCGTGCTTCTACACCTGCATTACTAGCTGTTTGGGGTTTTAGGCTGGGTTTCTGTACAGCACTTCGAGATATTAGCTGATGTAAGAAGGGCTATATAAAATAAAATTGATTGATTGATGACGCTAGGGGGTGAACAAGAAATTGGTCTGCATACCCACTATCACCAAGTATGATTCCACCATGTTGTCCTCCTTCAAGCTGAGCATACAAAGAATAGTTTTCCCAACATGCAACAATGTTGGAGAACTGAAAATTGGGAGTGCACACACTTTGTACATTTATTCAGAACCAGTTTTTATGATTCCTGTACTCCTCAGCATCTGCTGTAGAGGGACACTTGATGGGACTATGACGTCGAGCTATACAGCCATTGACTCCCATATACCTAGAACTCTACCTTGTAGTTGGCTTGGGCAGCAGCATCAGGGAACTTGATGTTCATATAGCATTGCAGACTTTGGAATATTCTGCATACAGTCGGTTGATTTACACTACACAAATCTCCTGTTTCACGATGGAAGGTTCCAGATGCCAAAAACCTCAAGGTGATCAGTACTTGTCTTTGAACATACGGAATCATTCAGTGGGTTGCTCCTGTCTATAACTGCCCTTCTGTCTGGCCTTGGTGGTGCTCTTTGACCATCATTGAAATAGCCAAGGTCAACCTGGGGGCCAACATCTATTCATCTGTGTCCGCGAAACCCATCATGTGTAAATTGATGGTTCAGATTACGGGATGCCAAGGTCATATTCTTCCATATTTAGTTCCAGTTATAGGGTTGTTCAGATTCACTTAAATCTGTGGAACACACTTTTTTAATGGCTAGTTCAATGTAAGCTTTCCAAAAGTTGTTTATAAATAATAGAGATCAGTCCTTTCAGGAGCCCAGATAATTTATTTATAGGTCCCATCATTACATGGTTCAGTTGTTGGGTTTCCCAAGGGACTCGATAGGCCAGCATAGCTGACCTAAGTTGTAAATATAGAAAAAAAGGAGTTGCCTGGTAATGTCTTTCAAATCTTTGAATGTTCTCAAACCATTACTGTCCATGATATCGGTAAGGGTACAGATTCCACATTTGGACCATTGGGTGGATGCATAATGCTGCCCTCCAGATCGGAAGGCATTATTGTGAAATATTGGAGTATGGGCATGCCATTTTGATTCCCAGTTATATTGTTTTTACATTTTACGCCAAGTAGAAATTGTGTGAGCAATAATAGGACCAAAGCGTAGTTTACATTGTTTTAGGGGTATATCAGTGAAGACCACCTCTTCCAGGGCAATAGGAAACACCATATTTCTCTCTATACTCAGCCAGGGGGCGGAAGAATCATGTCTAAACCAATTTAGGATAGGACGAAAAGCTAGTGCCTGGAAACACAATTTAAAGTTGGGTACGGATAGTCATCCTACGTCTTTCCCTTTTTGTAAATTTGTAAATTTTATCCACGCTCGCTTACCTTGCCATATACATTTTATCCCAATAGCCAGAAGGGGGAGACAAGGGAAGCATTGAACCACAGAAATTCAGCCGTGGCAATATATTCATTTTGACAATAGATATTCTTCCGGTTAAAGCAACTGGGATATTAGTCTATCTACTGAGGTCGGATTGAATTGATTTGAGCGTTCTCTAAAAGTTTGGCAATGGTTTTTATCTAAGGAAGGAAATACATCTATTCCCAAATACTGTATTTATAAGTGGAAACGATTGGGATTCCATAAGTAGAGACTGAGTCCTCCATCGGGGTCTTGAGAGGCAGAAGGGCAGATTTGGTTAGATTTATTTTATAACTTGAGATGAGGAGAGCCAGTATGAGGGTTTGCACTCAGGCTA